ATGGGCGGGGACAAATTATAAATAAATAAATAAATAAAAACCCCAGACAGACCACATTCCCAGCAGACATGACCAAAGGCAGAGGGCATAGACAGTGCCATATTCAGATGGGCAATTGAACTGGAATCAAATCTTTTTTCCCCTCTTTGTTCTGCTGAATCCAGGAGAAGGATAAGGCAGCTGCTAAAAAGTCAAATGCTGTCTCGGGCTGCCTGAACAAGAGCACAGAGTTCAGAGCACAGGAAGTAACTCTTCCCTTCTACTCTGCCCTGGTCCGACCCCATTTGGAGTACTGAGTTCAGGTCTATGTACTGAACGTATTTCTAAAAGGACAGTGACAAATTGGAGTGAGTTCAAAGGAGGACTACCAAGATGAGGATGGGTCTGGATACCGAGATTAAAGGAGATGGGTATGTTTAGGTTACAGAAAATATAACTGAGGGGAGATACGATTGCAGTCCTAAAACATTAGGAGGGTTGTCACTCAGAAGCGGGATAGACTTATTCTCTATTGACTCAGAGGCAGGAGTAGAACCAATGGGTTAAAAGTATAAGAAAGGAGATCCAACTACTGTAGATATCAGGAGAAAATTCATTGGAACAAGCTGCCACATGAAGTGGGGAGTTTTCCTTCACAAGGAGTCTTCAAGCCAAGGCTGGATGGTCTTTTGTCAAATGCTTTGGTGGATCCTGCACTAGGCTGGGAGCTGGATTAGAAGACTTCTGACACCTTTCCAGTTTGATGATGCTGAGGTGGAATACTAACCTGGAGAGGCAGCTAGGCTGATACTTCTATGGGATGGCTTCCTCCCATCCTCTTTAATCCCTTAGGATGCTCTTTATTTCTTAAAAAATACAACTATTTTGATGATGTCTACTCAAAGGATTCTTACCAACCCCACCCCAACTTTTTTGGTCTTTTTTTCCTGAGCCGCACAGGCACACTTCCAAACTCTCAGAGCCACATTTCCAATCCTAAGGCACACTAGAAAAGTGCAAACACTTATATTCAACACTTCAGCTCAAAGAGACATTAGTAGAGATTGGGATGTTAGGAATTATTTTGTTAATAAGATTAAAAAAGGAAGCCTAAATGTAAGTCATAAAATTGTAGATCCTAGCTGAGTGCAGGAATCCAGATTAAGGCATCCCTTATAAGTTGTCCACTCTCTGCTTGAATACCTCCAGTGAAAGGCAGATCTCTTCCTCTGTGGGTCACTGGTTCCCCTGTCAAACTGTTCTTAACTGAAAGGCTTTTCTAATTTCATTTAGCACCTGCCTTGCTGTAATTTAAAGATGAACTGTAGAATTCTTCAAGGTTTTTCCCCCCGTTATTATGTTTTCATCTGCTACTGTTTCCCTCACTTATAAATACCAGTGATCCAGAGAATGATGTTCCTTAATTTTCTAGTGTTTTGCTATAGTAAACCTGGCAGCTAACAACAGAAATTGAATCAACTTCTAACATTACAACTTCTAATTTTTTTTACTTTGGCCAGCCCATTTTAGCCTAAAGAAATATGCCCTAATTTGAAATTGTTGATTGAGTTGGTGTCTGCAAGTCTGTTTCTACCAACTATTTTTTTTTTAATGCCAGGCTAATTTTAATATCATGGATTACATTCGACATTCCTACAATTAGATTGCCCTCAATGTTTTTGTTTTAAAGAGACTGAAGCTGAGTGGGTCTACTCCAAAGTGCTAGGTAGTCAGGCCAAAGATGGGCTATAATTCCTTTAGTTATTAGCCCATATACTTTGGATCAACAAAGACAGTGGGATGCTTGTCCTATAAACTGATCCTATAAACTGATTGCTTAACCTATTCCCAAAGTTTCCATAGGATATGAAGCTTTAGTCAAAATGACAGAATCAGTGTTGTCTTGTTGCAGTACATGCTCTGCTCCTTTTTAAGTATGTGCAATGCCACAACATTATGTACAGAATGGAGAGAACTTCCACAGCAGTAGTGTGATGCTGCGGTAATCCCTTGCCTTCTCTGAAAATGCTTCTGCATTTTTAGTTCTTGGCATGGAAAATGGCAAAGTGGACGTGCTCATCGCATTGCCTTCATCTCATCCCCAGACCATATCTGTAGCAGCTTAAAGCCATCCACATCTGTTCTGCTTCTAAAGTAGTGTTTTCCCTCTTCTCCACACACAATTTTTGGCATTGAACATGTCTGGTGTACTTCACTGATCATGTGGTTGGGCCCTGCCCAGCTCCTATTGACCACTTAGGCTGCTGGGATCATACTTCCTGCCCTCTGGTCACTGTTAATTGTCTATCAAGCCATTTGGGCTTGAACTGAAAGGACTGGACAGCTGGGTTCTGCAGAGACATCTGTCCACGTAATACCTGATTGGTGCATTCCATTCCATTTATCAAGTCCTACATGGTCTCCTTATACAGTAAACATGGGTGTAGTATATTTTCACAAGGGAGCTAGACCGATGTTCAAAAGTAGCCTGTCTGACAGGTCATAAGTACAGAGGTTGAGTGTGGAGTGAAATGGGAGAGATGTTCCACCATGCTTCTGACAGCCTTTCTTTTTCACCTCCAGTCCATCTATCAGACTATTTCTGAACACGGTTCTAGTGTTCTTTTCAGAGTACTAATCCCATGTTCAAAGGCTGCCAGCAGATTAGACTAACAAAGGTAGATCAACACACACATCGTTTCAAGTGTGTGCCTCCTGACATAGAAATCAAAGACAAAGCACTGCTCTTCACTTGAAAGGAAGGAGGAGAAAAGTGCCAAGATGGGGGTTTAGATCTAAGTAGTCAGAAGATTCAAAGATGAGTTCCTTAGAAAACAACAGCTATAGGAGAAGAAGATATGTCCATTCCCATGAAACAGCATGAACCCTGCAGCATTCAGAGTTACTAAGATTAGATAAATAGGATTCATAACAGATCATGAATCCAAAAAGATAAAGAGCAAATAATCAATAGCAGCAGAAGGGTGAACAACATGACTGTCAGTGTGGAGTGAGGAGGTTAGGGACTGGAAAGGATGTAATAAAACCTATATTGACTTTTATTTTCTAAGAGAAAAAGCAATAAGCGTATAGCCTGCGGTTATGAACGTTTCCTTCATTGTTTAATCGCATCTTTGTCGATTGACTGCAGACACTAAAGCCAAGGATGCTTAGAAACCTTTGGGAAAATGCTGACAGGGATGCATTTATGGAAAAAGAAATGGAACACTGCAAGCCACAGATTCTGAATGTGATCAGTGGCATCTCTGTAGAAACCTGATTCAGCATATAGCTTATGCATAGGGCACAGGAGCTAAAACGATGAAAAACCTCGGAACACCGATGAAATGCCCTCTCATGCCTGAGGTCTAGCAAAAACTTGTCCACCCTGCAGCAACTGGGGGTAGATCTCTCTAGGTACAGAAGAGCTGGCTTTGTGTATAGTTAAAAGGGCCTCACGTGCAAAACATACTGAGCTTATTTAATTATAACCATGGTTAGTTTGTAGCTCAGTGAGTTATGAAAATCCAGCCCATTTGGTTAGTTTATGATTCAGTGCATTGAGCTGATTCAGCAATGAGCTGATTCAGTGATCAAGTTAAGCAAGTTGTTCAAACCAAGCAAGTGCCATTTTTTCTTTTCTTTTTCATTTGGTGATCAGATTGCCTTAGAAATCACATCTTCCTTCCTTCCTTCCTTCCTTCCTTCCTTCCTTCCTTCCTTCCTTCCTTCCTTCCATCCATCCATCCATCCATCCATCCATCCATCCTTTATTGACTGGGAGTATATTGGCTGCAAACTAAACTGGAAATTACCCACAATAACTTTCCAACAAAAGGAAATCTTCTCAAAATTAACATTTCCCATGAAGTCACGCAATCTCAATTAGTCCTGACACCTCATTGTTATTCTAAATGAAAGAAATTCTTTCCCTTCCTCCATTTCTCTCTCCTTCTGTCATTCATCTGTCTCAAATTTTAACTTGCAAGCTCCTTTCTTTTCGATACTCCACAAAGCACAATGCAGACTGTTGTATGATGATCATGATTATAATTAAGCCCAAATCACTTTTATCAGAAATTATCCTGGGGACATGTTAAAAGAATGTCCTATTATTTTGAAGGAATAAATATATTTTTGATACAATATAGACATTTCCTTTTAGGATCATGGAGCGTGTTTGTACATACTCCCAAATTCATTTTTCTATTTTCTTCATAGAAAAACAACAACAACGAATCATTGCAATGATACCATCAAGACTGGCAAAAGTGACAGCAGAAGCCCTCCACGCTATTCTCATGGTAGCTGTTCTCCTGCAGCAACAGGGATTGGAGGCAATGGCCCATTAATCCCGGCCTCGGCTTGCAAGGGCAAGATAAACTCGTTTCACTGTCACCTGGGCGGTTCAAGCATCCTTCTCTTGCCCGCAGGTAGCTTTCACCTGCTCTTCCGCAGGAAACTGCAAGCCCCAGAGTGCAAAACGGGAAGGCGGAGTCAGAAGGAGCCCTACCTCCCACCTCCCCGCGCCCGCGATAGGGCGGTTGGAGGCTGGCATACGCGCGGATTGGCCAGAAAGCTGAGAGCGGGGCGTGGCCGACCTTAGCGCGGAGGCCGAGCAAAGATGGCGGCATCTGAGGCGACGGGGAGATACAGGAGCGCGATGAGCAAAACCAAGGACCCCTCCGGCCTGCTCATCTCCGTCATCAGGTAGCGGCGGCCGTCCCTCCTCCAGGACGGGCTTGAGGGCCGTGGCGAAGGCGTCGCCCCTCAGCAGGGCAGGCCGAGGGGGAACTCGCTGCCTTGGGGCCCCGGGAAGCGTTCACACAACACGCGTCACTAGTCAGGGGCTGCATGCGCGTAACGTGCGAGGCTCGTGAGTTGTAAGGTAGTTTCGGGGTGTGGTTAGCTTAGGGTTAAGTATATTGTGCAAACCCTGAAAGTGGGTTAGTTAAGGACCCGGGGTAAGTGTGTTGTGCGAACACAGCCTCTGGGTCACGGGCAGATCGAACGGTGCACGGGGATGCTTGTCTTAGACGATGTCCCCAAAATATCTCGACTCTCTGGGGCGGTCAGGACTAGCTTTCTTTAACGTGGCCCTTTCTAGGAGTGTTGGACAACTGACCCCATGATTCTCAGCCTGGCTGGCTCTGGAAAGCATCAGGCAGGGCCTGCTTTGCCTGCTGCATATTTGGGGGTGGGAGAAATGATTTGTGGCTTAATCTCTTTGGGGCTGCTCTAATGTGCTTTGCCACTTGGTCGTGCCCATTAGAGTGATTGGACTGTGCTCCCCATCATTCCCACCTAGCATGCTGCTTTTGGTTTATGGAACCATTGATAGCTTGGAGCCAATATATCCGAAGGCTGCCCTTTTTCTAACTACCAGCCTCTCATTTATTATTACAGGTAGTCCTTGTTTAGTGACCACACTTGGGACCAGCATTTTGGTTGTTGAGTGAAGTGGTTGCTGAGTGAAACCGCAACTGTGCTTATGATCTTATTTCAGCTTTCCTTTGCTTTACAGACCTGCAAAGGTCACAAATGCAAGGATTGGTTGCAAAGTTACTTTTTCATCACTGTCATAACTGCGAACAGTCACTGTACAAGGCAGCTGCTAAACGTGGACTACCTGTATCGTTGGTGGTCACATCACCCCAAGAAGCTAAATTGGGGGGTTTCCCACCTGGCAGGGCTTCTTCAGTAGCAGCCCCTGAGTGTGGGTCTCTCTCTTACAAATGCTGTGCTCTTCTACCAATCTTTTCAGGACTACACAATCTGTTCTAAACAATGTTTTTGTTTCCTTTCTGTGTACATTGCCCATATTGGACACAAAGATGTATACTATAAACAGGAGAAAAACATGGAGCTACACCATCTTCATCCCCATTCTTTTGTTTTTAAACCCACTTTTTATGGCCTCCAGGGAACACCTTGGAAACACAGTGCTGAAGTTTGGTGGTGTGATAACCCAGAAGATGCGGCAGCCCATTTCCCCCCCATCATTTAGAGATAGGGAATGCACAAAAAGTTGTTGTGTAAAACTGGCTTAGCGTAGCTGAAAACAAAACAAATGAAACCAAGGGTAAAAGCAAAAGCAGAGAATTATGGGTGACCTTACTCAGTTTGCATCATTACTTTGCCCTCTGTATTGCCATCCTGTCCCTGATAATGTGTGCGGGGAAGAACTTCAGTGATTAAGATGGGGATAATGAGGCTGAGGTTAATGAGATTTTTCTTAATCTTATACCTGTAGGAACCAAGTGTTGTTGCTAGTTGATTAAGCAATGACACAGAATGAGCTTTTCTACTCAGCACTGGGCCTTGTGCTGAGTAGCTTCAAAACTTGTGTCTTGGCCAACACAAATTGATTTCATATAGCTAGTATGTGGTGTTGTTGTGAGAGGTTGAAGTAGTATCAAGGAGACCCAGGTTTAAGTCCACCCTCAGCCATGGAAGCTCCACAGATGACTTTGGGCCAATCATCCACTTTTAGCCCAATCTATTCATGGGATTTTGGTTGTGGGGAAAAATTGGAGAACAAAGTGACGAATATACTGCCATGAGCTCATGAAGGGAAGGTAGAGTAAAAACAAACAAATCATTTTTTGGGCTCAACTATATGATTACAGCGACATACAGGATGGAAAAATAAAATAAAGGTTTCCTGGCATTTCTTTCTTTCTTGATTTTATTTATTGGTTGTTCCAATCTACTACATCTCACAGGTTTGTTATAGTAGGTTCAAGTCCCTTCCCCCTTCATTTACAAAAGCTCATGATGTGAATTTGGGTCAGTTGCAGTCTTTCAGCTCAACATGTTCTGCAAGTTTTTTCTGGGGAAATTGGAAGGGGGAGTACTTGCAAACACCATCCTGAACTTGTAGGGGAAAGGTAGAATGTAAATCTAACAAATGAGTAAATAATTGTTGTATGTTTGAGTCTGACAGGCAGTTTTTTCTATTTGGTGGCTGGCTGAGATGCATTGATGCCTTTCCAGGGAGTGTCATTTGTTGTTTGTGTCTTTGATGATTGAAGTCAGGATTAAGTTGTTGGATCTCAACTTTTTTTGATTACTGTACTTGATGTGTGATGCTCTGGAGTTGCACTGTCATGTATCCACTGTCAACTAGTTTCAAGTAGTTGGGGAAGGAAGCCAGTGGCTAATAGCACACAATGTCTTCTGTCATGAAGAATGAGTGTCAGGAAAATCTTCTGTTCTGCTTTATTTTGCCAAAGGACAGCGAACAATTTTCTGAAGATTTGATCACAGTGGGACTATAGTTAGGCAGGTTTGCGTAGTCTTTATGTGTTAAAAAGTAAGCTAAGATTCTGAACCGAAAAAGGTGTTATTGATTGTGCTTCTTCCCTTGCCACATGCCAGTGAGGATAAGCCACCTTGGCTAACAGTGTGGATCAGATCTGTTTTGTGAATCAGAAATAAGGAAGCTCAAGAACTGTAGTGGTAAAAGGAGACTTTTTGAGGGAATTGGAAAGGATGGACAGGTTTTTCCAAGTCTTAATCTGAGGCCAGCTACAGTGCATTTGAAATAACAATAAGAATTCCATCAAATGTGATAAAATCATGCAGTGTTATGGTTGGAAAGGAACTTGGAGATATGTAGTCTAACCTGCCCAGTGCAGGAACCCACCAGTAGAGCATTTCTCTTTAGGATGTGGGGGAGAATATTCTGTAGGTCAGGGTGAATGTAGAAATAGGCTTTTTCTGAACCCCCATCCCTCTGACGTCCCAGGTACCTCTTCAGGATAGATTCTGATCAGAGAAAACAGTGCCATAGATTACGAAGCTTTATGACTTCCTGAGCTATAATGAATTTTATAGGTCATAAACACCGTATTGAATTGTACCCAGACACTTATAGGTAACTAATACGATTTCTGCAAAAGTAGTGTGATTCTGAATGTTGAACCAATTGTAGTTTCTGCGTAATCTTCAAAGGTAGCCCCATCTACTAAGCTTTACACTAATCAAAGGTGAGACAATAAGGGTGTGAGTGACTGGTGCCAGAACATCTTGCTCCAAGAATGGTGGCACTCAGCACACCAGCCTAAGCTGGGTAAAGATTTTCTTCAGTTAGTCATGGGTGTATGTGCTGTGTGAACACAACTGTTGTGGGAGAAAGGGAATAATAGCCTTCCTTCCCAACTGTAATCGCTGAGCTAGCTCCATTGCTCCAAGAAGGGATTGGGGGAAAATCCCCCTAATGCCAATGGGGTGCTTTTCTTAGAGCTAAAATGGGGGCAAGTTTTCATAGAGATTGCAAGAAGAAAAGAAAAAGAAAACTCTCTTATCTGCCTTTTGTGGTCCCAGTAAAAATTGAAGTGAGATAGGGGTTTGTCTGCTGTGTGATGGGAATGATAGTAGCACATTTAGTATGGTGTGTAGTTAAGTCAGTAGTAAGGTTCTAAGTAAAATCCAGAAGGCAGGATAAAGTGGCCTTCCCCAGCATACAACTCCCAGCGTTCCTAGCCACCATAGCCAACAGCTGTGGCTAGTGGAAAATTCTGGGAGCTGTAATCCCAGTGCACTGGAGGGCACCAAGTTCAGGAAGGTGAGTTATGGCAGCCCACCAGAGCTCAGGGAGACTTTTCTGCTTAAATAAATACATGATACATGTCATGTGCACCCAGCCTATGTGTGTTACTGGGGGGGGGGGTGCTATTTATTTATTATACAGATTTGTATAGCTGCCCATCTACCAGAAGAAATTCTGGTTTGCAAGGCAGAAGGTTGACTGCAAGCAGAGTTGAACTTCAAATACACATTTAAAGACTGAAGTGCAACTATTGTTTCTTTTAAAATGACTGTATAGGCTGTGATGACTTTCTGCCTGTTGTTACTTTTGCTACTTTAGAGGAAAACTGGTATTTAACTGATTTTATCTGTGCTGGCTACGTTTTGTGAGTAGGCTGGAACTTTCCCACATTGTTTCTTTCTGAGATCAACCTTTTCCCACTTTTGTTGTTTAGCATTGCTTAATTTGCTGTTTCTGCCTACTCATGGTGTATTATGACATTCCATCTGCACTGTGTATCTGTTGTGTTAACATTGTTTTAAAAAACGTTGGTGGATGGTACGGCACTTATGATCGCCGACTTTGCTGGAATAAATTCATGCTGACAGCCAGTGTTTGTGCAGAGATTCTTACTTATGAAAGTAGACGGGTTAGAATAATTTAATTTGTGCTTGTGAAGTTCAGATGTGTTTAATTTGGGAATTCAGTAAAGCAGAAATGCTAAATTCAGGTATCTTAATGAATATAGTCCATCCTCTCCCAAGTTAAGAGGCAGGGAACAAGATTTTTTAATAAACCCGTCAAAGCTAGAACTCTAGGCTTGGTTCAATATATCAGAAATTCTTATTATGATAATTAAATTTAATCATGGTTTCCCAAATAGGAGAAGAAAAAATGTATCTGACATCCTGCTGTAAGTAAAATCAATATAAGGTGTGTATATATGTTATAATAGTATATAAATAAGGGTTATTGGAATACAAATACAAACCCCTGCCTCCACAGGGTGATTTGACTTGTACTGAGAATAACTTGTGAGGGTCATACAAATTACTAAACTTTCCTGGGAAAAATCCTTCCCTAGAATAATTCAGTCATCCATATTTTCTTACTAAACGAGAAAGAAAATTTAAATGCACTACAGTTTTCTGTTCTTCAAGATGAATTGTATTATACA